GTGCTTGTATAAGGCATCATGCAAACACCTGGTGTTATGTTTGAGGGTGCTTGTATGAGGCATCATGCAAACACCTGGTGTTATGTTTGAGGGTGCTTGTATAAGGCATCATGCAAACACCTGGTGTTATGTTTGAGGGTGCATGTATAAGGCATCATGCAAACACCTGGTGTTATGTTTGAGGGTGCTTGTATAAGGCATCACGCAAACACCTGGTGTTATGTTTGAGGATTCTTGTATAAGGCATCATGCAAACACCTGGTGTCATATTTGAGGATGGCTGTAAACGTGTAACCTTTAGAGAAAGTGTCTCTTTGTCTTTACATGTTTCGATATATCAATGCTATGGTATTTTGCTTTCGTATTTTCATCACATTTACTACATATTGTGATCAAATTACCTACATAACATTACCATGGATGGATGGTTTCATCATAGAGTTTTTATTTTATCAAAGCACGCGTCGATTACAGAAAAAGACGCAGATAAATACTGGGGCTGTGTTCTACATGGTTCTACTATGGTACTGATGTGGCCAAAGGCTGGGGCATGTAACAAATTCATACATTTTCTTAGTTTCATAGCATGATAAATGAAAATTGATACATTACTCATAGTTTCTGTACAATCACAAGTCATTAATTTACAAAATTTGTTACCGTTTGGGTTGTGGTAGAAATAGTTATTTAGATATGTTGCTCTTACATCATTAGACACTGGACATGCACATAAAAAGTGATATTCATCTTCAATACAATCAACTTTACGAATCCTACAAAGCCTATGTTCTATGGCATATCTTCATATCTGCCTGCTTCAATAAATAAATCATGTTAGCCACAACGAAATCGAGAAAGAGCTGCTCTAAACTTATGTCAATTTACACTTACTAGATATGGTTCTAGTATGATAGTAGTCCTAAATGTAGTGTATTAATTTGCTTTTCTAGTACTGGACAAAGAACCTAGCCATTTTTGGATGAACATATATTTTAAGATCTGCGTCAAACGGGTGAAGAAATGCTGTGGCATATCTACATGTTGCTGTTACCAAATATAACTATTTCCCCATTCGTATAACATGTTTTTAACTTTTGACCCCTTTAATCAAGACACAATAAATACGGAAGCCCAATCTACCAGACGATTACTGATGGGAGTACTTCTACCACGCTACATTACCTAGTGCCGTGAGTCGCCAATCAAGATATGTGGTAATGCGGACTTAAGTAGGTATGTTAACCTCTCGATACCCGGGGTTCCAATATGTTTGGTATCACAATAAATATATGCCACAGAACCATTTCCATAATCATCAGAAATATATGCTGAAAGCAGAGTCCATTGTACGATTCCAACTGTATCCCAAGAATGTGTTCACGAATCACCATCAGATACCAGGTGTTCCATGATGATGAGCTTCCCTGCTGCCCCCGGTGACACACGTCCCAGACACGTGTAGATGCATGACCTTAAAGTCGAGGAGATGTCTTTACGAATATTATATAATTTCAACACACATTTATCATTATTGTACTTTGTATGAAACAGTTACTTTTATCCGTCAGTAAATGGATCAAATGGATTTGTAAGCCTGTGTATAATGTTTCATTTTCGATACGAAAAATAAGTTATTATAAATGACGTGAATTTTGTTTTCACAATGACGTCAAATAAGACAGATATTATACACAAGCACACAGAAAGGGGATATAACTCCGTAATGCTTCAAACTCATCCATTGGATCATGAAAAAATATTTTCGAAAATTATTTTGTTCACGAGTAACCAAACTGTACCACCACAGACACTGAAATGGAAACCGTACACTGTTTGTTAGCATGACGACGTTGGAGTAAGACGACATAAGTACGTTGCTTACAATATATCTCATCTAATGTCCGTTAATAGTATGAAAAATCTCGATTTGTAAAACGGAATTTGACAATGTTCAGACACAACATAAAATGACTATTTTTAATGTGTTGATAATGTCTTGAAAAGGTTACACAGTAGATCATATTGTCCATCATATTTGGACAAGACACGCACATGTCAGCCATCAATATTACATTAATATAATACTCAAAAGAATATTCAAAACAAATAAATATTTTGTAAAATTGGACATATATTAGTTCATTATCATGCGGTTGTATCTTGTCCTTTCGACTCAAAATAATACTATGAAAAAGCTCATTTTGTGTAAAATTATTAGAATAATCGTATAATATTCGAGCTTCGGGATACATGTAACAGTTTTTGTTTATCTTTAATAAGTCTTACTAATAAAGCAAACAATTATATATCCTTGGATCACAATATTTATAATAGGATGAAATGGGTTATATTATACAAAACGAGAGAAGTAATTCGTAAATGATTTGTGACTGACGCGTAAATGGTGAATCGTTCGAAATCAATGTTCTGTTATTCAGACGGCCAAAAACCTGCAAACACAAGACACGTTGATATTTCAACAAAAATTAATTTCATAAAAAAATAACTGATATGCACATTGGTTAAGTTTAATTCTTAGTGGTTAACATCTGTTATATTTTCTAGGAACATCGTGGCCTATAAATTGAAATTTGTTTTATCATACAATTAACGTGCATTGTTATGATATTATATTCAATGTCAATTCAATAGCATAGCTGTTACCGGAAATATTCAAAAACTTTTCTATTGTTCGGCATTATCCACACTAAAAAAAATCAAAAATTTAGATTCATTCAGTAGTGTTATTCCAAGGTCATGATTTCTAAAAAAATATTAAACATTCATGGCAAATATACCCCAATGCCAAGCCTGTTGCTGTGTGAATTGGAATATTTTCAACAGCACGCACTGTCACTGTATAGATCCACACTGGACTTCATGTGAGAGTCCCAAGATGGTCTAAAAGCACCATGTTGTTGACAAGATTAGTATTCCTATTTCAGCAAATGTCCAGTGTACATGGTGTATTCTGATGGTCACAGACATCATTTCCAGAACCAGTGCTTAAGATATATAGCCTGTGTATAGAACTTTAATGTGTTTACAACTGAATATACAACACGAGTTGTTTTTTCATGGGCAATGTATTGCTTGACCACAAAATACTCAAAAGAAATCTGAAGATCTGTCACAGCCCATGTTGCTCTTGAGGTGCAGTTTTGCTTGACGTCAATGGTAATTCTGGCGATATAGATACATCTACTCGTGAGTAAGAATAGGAAATCTTTCTTCCCTCAAACTTGGAAATCTGGTCCAAGGGCAAAGGATATATATCACTTATGACGATATACTTCTAAAATACCAACAGTTCCTTACAATGCTTACATCAAATATAATTGATAAATTAAGCATGTAGATTTTACCTTTAACTGAAATTGCTTAACAAGTGCCAAATGGGGTTTAAATTATCAAGTTTATTCATATCAAACAGAATATAGAATACATTTAAGTAGGGTCACTTTTCAGAGCTCTTAAAAACAATCATTGCAATAATTTAATTGTCATTATTTACAATTTTGATTAAAAGAATTTGTGTGTGTGGATAAAACCTGATTTTTGTATTAACACAGACACCCCCATAAAAGTCTTTGTGCAGCATAATTTCTTAGAGAGATGACAAATCACGACAATTTACATTGCCAACATGGCTATAATAAGCCCATTTAAGAATATATTTTGTGTCACCTCCCCTGGACATGATTCTGCGACGTTCCTTATCAGAGCTGAACACTACAATGTATTGGAAAAGGCCCAGGACAGAAGTAATGGAAATTTGACATAACATTGTATGATGCATAAACGGTGAGCATAAGTTAGTTAACAATTACAAATTCATTCCTTCTCTCATTTTGACAATAGAAAACAAATTAAATCAAGCGCCATCATCAATGTACATGTGATGATTCACCGAGCAGTACTGACTCATCAACATTGGTAATTGTACCAGTCTATCAGAGAAGTGGGCGAAAAGTGAAAACATACCTCGATTTATGACTGGGTATGATGAGCCGGGTTCTGTCCGACGTCACACTTCTAGCCATTGCCGTGAAACGTTCTTTGTCACCGGAAGTACTAAAACAACGTAAGGTCTCGCGTAGTCCCGTGACCTAATTCAATTTAATTCTTACGGGCCCTATAATCTTGAAAGCGACATTAAACCCTATTTCACCTCATCTCTCAACCTCACACAGTTCTCCAACTTCTAAATGCCTCTCAAAGATGTTATGTACATCAATATTGAAATGACATATGACACCACTACCGCTGACTTTTACAAAATGACAGCACTACGCGGAATTTTCAGAGGAGGACTTTCGTTGATTCAGTGATCTTATACACATAAATGTGTCCTGTCTGTAATCAGAACCAAACTAACAATCTGTGCATTGTTATTTATTTCTATGTTTTCCATTGTAACCAGGAGAATGAATTAGTCAGAAAATATAAATTGCTGTCATTGTGCGTGATTTTGCGTTAGTCGTGGTGTCATGATGGACGAAAATTTTGACAATAGTCAAATTCTGTTAAATATGCCAAATCATTGTAATATATCTAGTATTAATTCCCTAATTCCTTACACGCATATTCCCTAAAAATGAGCCAATATATGATTAAGCAGATGGATCTCTCAAACTAGGAGAAATTAACTGCTGCACAGTGTAAAATCTGAATTTTGTTTTGTTTTCATTTCAAACAACAAACGAAAACCACCCTTAATACCCCCTTCACGTACACGGATTTTTCTTACGAGTCCTTACAAATCGCCAACTCGTAGTCAATAGCAAGCATCCGTAAATAACTCGCTGGTATCCGTAAATCACTCTACTCGCAACAACTCGCAGACACTCTTCGTGGAAGGAGAGACATGTAAAAAATCATCGTATTGTCCACGGATTGATATTTTTCGTAAATAACTAGTAACAGTCCGTAAGTATCGTAAACCGCTAGCAAAAACACGTAACTATCCGTAAACTGCTCGCAAGAATCCGTAAATGACTCGTAACAAATTTTTTTACGATTTGTTACGATAAGTTTACGATTTGTTTACGGATTATTAACGGATTATTACGAGTGCTTATGTGTTGTTTACGATTTCATTCGGGTCGTGTTACGATGGCTTTACATATTGTTACGAGTTATTACGAACTATTTACGTGTAGTTACAAGTTCTTTACGAATAGATACATATACTTTACGTAGTCTTACATATTGTTTACGATTTGGGAAAAAGTATAAAAGCTGCAAAATCGAACACTTCATTTTCAGTTGTTTTTAAGAAGTCATAGAAGTCACATTTCTGCATATCTACTCTACAATATCTACAAGCATGGCTCCAATGAAGAAGGCAGTCAACAAGAAGAATCCTGTTCTTCGAAAATCTCCGTGGAAGAAGAGGACCGGCTCGCTCTCCTGAACCACCACCGCAGCTAGACCCTGTTGATGTAGAAGACACTGAAGACACTGAAATTGTCTCTCTGTATGTCAGTTATCGAATAATGATACATGGAGATTTGCAGGATTTATATATTTTTTGACAAAAAATCGTAAGGACTCGTAAATACTCGTAACTAACTCGTAATTATTCGTAACAACACGTAAACAGGTCGTAACTAACACGTAAAAGCTTCGATGAATAGTAACATTCCGTAATATACTCGTAACAATCCGTAAAAAGCCCGTAAAATGCCGTAAGATGTTCGTAGTTATCCGTGACAACTCGTAACAAATAACGGAATTTTGCCGTAAATACATTGTAATAACTCGTAATAATCCCTAATAAACCGTAAATAGCTCGTAATAACTAGTAACAACTCCTAAATCAGTCCTAAAAGTGGCCAAATCATAAGGATCCGTGAAATTGTGCGATCAGTAAGGATTCATAAGAAAAATCCGTGTTTGTGAAGGGGGCATAAAATACATGATCCGATGTTTAGGCTGAGTGTTTAGAGCACCAGTAACGACCTCGTTGATAAAAATGGTCCTGACAACATTATTACAATAAATGCAACTTGATTCAAATGTATTTACAACCAATATAACAAGTAAACCCACTCAAACTGACATAGCCAGAAACATCTGTAACCATCTGTGGTTGTAAATTAAGTATGTTGGTCTGTGGTTGTAAATTAAGTATGTTGGTCAAGTTGCTTAAACTGGTATAAACCATACAACATAACTTAATATCAAAATAATATTAACATACAGCACATAAACAAAATCTTAATGGAAGTGACTGCTAAATTTCAAGAGAAATGTCTTTTTATACCGTAACTTTACCTTATACTGAAATGTACACAACACTTATAATTACCAACCATGGACTGAACCCCATGGGCTCACGAGCAGGTATTGACTGGTCACCCACTGCCAGTACATGAAAGCTACAGTATGATAAATACACCAGTTAATACAATAATCAACTGTACAGACAGAACTGCCAAACGTTACTTGCCACCAACAGTTATTCTGTTCACAACTACACACTTGAAATGTTCAAAGTAATGTTAGTACTAAATTGCATTGAGAATTAGACTACCATTACATAGTGTGAACTACTACAAACATTTTTATGAATATTTTATACTCTTTTCATAATGTTTTCTAAAACAAAGTAAACTAACCTGAACCGTTGTTTTCACACATTTCAAACATAGCAAAGTTGTTCCCTCTCCTGATGTCACTATCATGGGCATTAAATATGTACATAAGTTTTGTAATGATGCTATATACCAAAAAAAAAACTGTTAGAAAACCTTTAATGGTAGTTATTCATAAAATATACTTAAATACATAATATATCAAAATATAATATCATTGCACTGTTCTAAATCACCTAAATATTAAACCATAAATACTCTGTCACGTAATCCAAAACATTCAATAACTATCTCTAGTGAAATAATGTTAATCTAATGGAATTTAAGCTATGATTTAATTTAGGTGTCTAAGTATCAATGTAAACAAACATTAATCCCCACTATCCAACTATATAAACATAACCCTAAAATAACATTGTTTCCACCACTTAATTACCTCTGTATTCTAGACAGCACCCTAATTACCTAAAGCTCATCATCTAAAACAATAGATATCACCAGCCAACTAGTAAGTGTCAAAGGATACACATCTTAAGGTTCCAAATAGTTCCAAACCTTATTAAAAAATTAATATAAATGTTAATCGCTAATATGGTTGGTCAACACAACCTAACTTTGTTGGGATTGGTCAACTTACCAAAACCCATGGTATACCAGTTAGTATAAATATTGTTCTGGAAGTAGTGTCTACAGACTTGATGTCGCCTTCCTAGGAACATGCTCGGTCCCTGGGAAGTCTATGTATGCTCACCATTGTTGTATATATTTGTTAGCTACTTATATATATGATGTTCATGTAAACAAATCTGTGTATATTGTACTAGTCGTCTCTTGTTCTACCTGGCTACGTTACCACTTTTAGTCAGAAAATGATATCACCAACCAATTGATCATGCATGTAGCATGTTTACAGCTTGAAAAGCATGTGCATTACTAATGTAGCACATCAGACAAAATGGTCTATCGTTTCAGCAGCTTCAATAATAAGGACTCTCTATACGCCGGTACTACTAACGGTTATCAAGGGCGTGGCAGAGACTGTGAGAGAGGCTATGAGCAGTTTCAGGCGTGACCAAGTGTGACTAGAGCTCGTCACAGTGTGCTGGCCTTCTGAGCGATGAGTTGACTATTAGCTGTTGGCCGTTGGCTTGTGTTCTTATGCCGTTTGTCCTGGACTGCAGTGTCGGTCGCATCCTGTTCAAATGTTCAGTGCCCTTCTCTGCCTTCAGTGACTTCAGTGACGGTGCTGTTTATATAGGGGTTTCTTAGCTCATTAGCTGTGACCCTCAAATCTTTAGGGTGTCAAAACAAGTTCGTGGTACAATAAACTGGAAACTCTTGGTCAGCAACTGTCCGATCTATGACCATCACCTGGTCATCAAATACAAGAACGCATGGAGCGTGTCTCCTTTCCTATAACAATGGGTCAGTAACTGTTTCTTCTGATGATCACAATAAGCCCACCTGTCTACACAGCCTCTGGCCACACTGGATAGTGTTACACTCAACAAATCAAAATGGTCTACATCTCCGTTGAAAGCCAAGTGTTAAATTGTTAATATGATATATGATGTTACTTTGTGCCATCCACATATCATTCATATCCTACCTCATTTATACTGAGCTATTTGCGATGCACATATTCTGCTGTGTATAATCCTTAATGGTAAGGGTGGGTTGTGGCAGAACCACACTCGCCTATACTACTGTTGTGCATAATCCTTAAGGCAGGACGTCTACGCTGTGCTACTACTCCAACCAGTCAGACGTGTGGCACTGTCTGGAGTGTTCACGAGGTTCCATGATTGGATTACAGTCCTTGACATACGTCAGTAACATCAACCACCCCAGATGCCATCATCTGTGGTACTGCACCACTCCATGCTTCATCCAAGACTACAACGTCTCACAATACAACATCAGTAAAGTCAGCAGTCAGTCACGACATACGTCCATGTGCTCAGACCATCGTCATAGAACAGATTGCACGACTGAGCTGGGTTACGCCTGCCCCATGAGGCGCTCCTGTTCTCCACCTGTTCCTGTCTCAGATGATGTCACAGTGTAGTTGCCTATTCAGTTAATGTTGTACAATTCCAAAGCTTCTGACATCTGATCGAAAACGAACCAGGCATACCATGTCGTGTGATAATCTAGAGCTGTTTGAAGCTCACCAAGAAAGGCTTGTACTGACTTGTCACAGCGACACAATTTGCTCAACTGACTCCAGAAGTTGTGGATACGAAACAGGGTATGTGTGTGGATATATGAAAGGGTCCAGGATACTTATTACAGGGGTAGTCATGTTTTGGCAGACAACATATACACAGCTAAAAAACATACCATTACATCAGTTACATAAAATTCAAATTAGACAGCTCACAGTACAGTTTACAACAAGGTGAGACTGACTCAATACATACATAAATATTTTTTATACTTAATGATCTGCTTTGAAATTCCCCACCTGACTTAACGATGATTTACATTTGATTTAACATGCTTAAGGTTGAATGTACTTAGATAAAAAACATTAAAAACATATGGCATGTAAAACTGTACACCCTTATGAACCTATGAGGGATTATAGAAACAGTCTTGCTGGTGCAAAAGGTTAATGTGAAGTTCCCATTTGAATTAGGAAAGAGGGCAAGAGTTTGAATGACCCAATCAGCATTGGTTGAATCAGGACACATAATAATGTGGTTTCTCCATGAATAGGTAGAACAAATATTAATACAATTATTAATACTATTAAATGGCTTAAAACTAATATGTACATGACTGTGATATAATAAATGCATCTGACACAGATATACCTCCATGACATCATACAAAATGTTTCACTATTACATAATTCCTTCTATGCGAGACCTAGAACTTATCAATCAACCCTCGTAATATTCTTGTATATTTTAGATCCGACGACAAGAGCGATACAGCAGCATTTTCCGCTGACATCGGGTGGGTGCTACATCCTTGTGTTTGTTCGTCTGTTTATTTGTCAGTCTGTTTACTTGTGTGTTTGTTTAACGTCGCACTCAGCAATGGTCCAGCTATATGGCGGCAATGTCCCAGCTGTTACCCATCCTTCTGTACAGAACACAGAAAAAGGTTATGGACAAACCATCATTTTTAGGAGCAATCCTGAAACCTGTTGCCGTCCAATGCCAAGCGTGTACAGAACTGCAGGAGATACCTTGATATTTTGAGTAATTTCCACTTGTTTCGAGACGATTCAGGCAGGAGTCATTTTGATGGTGATGTTTCCGGTTACACTAGAATTGACTACTTATTATCAAATGAAATGTTGCTATGGTAACTACCAGGTCATATATGCATGCTTATAGTTTATAGGAAAAGGAACATCGTGTTTCAGGCAATGAAACATCACCTTTGGTTCCTGTTGTTGCCGGCGTTGTTGGATTAATGTCAGTGATGGCAGCAGTGACGACGCTCTGTTGTTGTGAGAGGTAACTCACAGACTTATACCTCACGTTACATATAAAGTCGATCGTCGTCAACGCATGTCCCATTAATTGAGTAAATGTGTGATGCAAAATGCTGTTAATCGTATGCTTAATAATCAGGGGATTAATATGATTTATAGGAAAAAACGTTCAGTGGAAAGTAATGACACAACACCGAACCAAACTGATGAAGAAACACGTGATCCTGAGGGCGTGGCTACGTCTCCAACACGTGAACCTGAAGGCGTGACAACAACACCACCACGTGAACCTGAAGGCCTTGCTACAACTTCAACACGTTACCCCGAAGGCGTGACAACAACACCATCACGTGACCCTGAAGGCCTTGCTACAACTTCAACACGTGACCCTGAAGGCGTGGCTACGTCTCCAACACGTGACCCTGAAGGCGTGGCTACGTCTCCAACACGTGACCCCGAAGGCGTGGCTACATCTCTGTCAGCTGCCAGTGATGCAGAGGAAGGTCATCCATGGAAGAGCTCTTGCACTGACGTCACCGTCTATGTTGGGAACGGTTCACCAGGAGTCGGAGACTATGACCGTGTGACATTTACTCGAGTCCTTCAGACCACAACAACACAAGCAGGAAACGTGAAGAAGTCATCACATGCCTACAGTCACATAACTATGTGTGACCGCAATAGCCACGGCAAGTTGAAGTTTCAAGAGTGTCAAGATTATGACCACGTAAAGTTCACTACTGCCTCATCCTCTAGTGCCGCAGCTGACGACCAGACGCACGTCTATGTTGTTTCTGAACCCTTGGTCGGACACAGGCTTGCCAAGGAGGTCGCCGAAGAAGATGGAACTGAAATCCACGAATCAACCCTTTAAGGACAACTAAATCATTTTTCTCAAATGGTAGCTCATTTGATCACGTGTATTTCATTGAAGTATTTGTTGACAGTTTCATTCATCCTCGACTATCCAGGGTATGTTATCTCCATTCCATTTCGATAAATACCCTGATCCTGAAAGTGAAGGCTTGACGTCTGTAGCTCTGTATATCGAGATAATGTATATGCATAATGTAGCTCTGTATATCGACCCGACAGAGCTACGTGAGATAATGTGTATGCATAATGTAGCTCTGTATATCAACCCGACAGAGCTACGTGAGATAATGTGTATGCATAATGTAGCTCTGTATAACGCCCCAAGGGGCATGTGTGTTAGATAGGGTATAATGCCCAATCTATGAATCGCATGTAAGTCTAATAAATCAATGAAACACACTTCGCAGAGTATCAGTATCGATTGTTATATGACAGTGTATCTTATTGTTGAACAATAATTGTAACTGTGTTACAGTGTTTCTGATAAAATTCGGGGCTGTGGGGTAGCCTAGTGGTTAAAGCGTTCGCTCGTCACGCCGAAGACCCGGGTTCGATTCCCCACATGGGTACAATATATGAAGCCCATTTCTGGTGTGCCCCTCTGTGATATTGCTGGAATATTCCTAAAGCGGGCGTAAAACTACACGCACTCACTTCTATTGATATTCGGTAGACGCTCAATGCATTGGTTTTTTTCATGTGACTAGTCCTCAAACTCCCGGTATACCGTGGACTCATGCCGAGTATTTTGTAATGTTCACTGTGTAGAAATTTTCAGTAACTAGTTAGACTATACATATAGTGGGACAAGGGCGTGTTTAGGTATATCTCACACATTTCATCGCTTAGGGACCAGCTTTAGTGTGAGAATCGCTCATCATCCCTGATTCCCTGCCCAGCCATTCACGGAAGCTTGACACTGTCGCCGCTGGGTGTATATATATTATTATATTTGATGCTGATCTCTGCCATTGAAAATTGTACTACAACTCTATTATCTACTGTCATTGTAAATGTTGTACAGTAGTTTACATTTATTTGTAATACATTTGTTGTTTGTTTGTTGGTTTCACACTAAGTTCTTTAACGTACAGATTTCTGGGTTACCACATTGTTTCAATTTAAGAATGGATACGTGACATGATATACATGCTAGGATCTATTGCACTTTGACGGAGCAGTGAGTGGAAGTAGGGGTGAGGTAAACGACCTTTTGAACAGCGTTTCTTGTTATTCCATGGCGTGTCACTGGTATGTGGAAGGAAAACCACAAGTCAGATAAGATAACTTGTGAAAACGTCACAAGTCCGATACAAATGTTCATTTGAGGTTTATTGACAGGACAAGGAAACTATTGGACTTGGCATATTTATAGGTATTATGCTCCTTCCAGGGTATAGTTCGCTATGTCGTAGCCGTTGTCAGGGTATAGTTCGCCATGTCGTAACCGTTGTCAGAGTATAGTTCGCTATGCAGTAGCCGTTGTCAGGGTATAGTTCGCTATGTAGTAGCCGTTGTCAGGGTATAGTTCGCTATGTAGTAGCCGTTGTCAGAGTATAGTTCGCTATGAAGTAGCCGTTGTCAGGGTATAGTTCGCTATGTAGTAGCCGTTGTCAGGGTATAGTTCGCTATGTCGTAACCATTGTCAGGGTATAGTTCGGTATGTCATACACCATTGTCAGGGTATAGTTCGCTATGTCATACACCATTGTCAGGGTATAGTTCGGTATGTCATACACCATTGTCAGGGTATAGTTCGTTATGTCATACACCATTGTCAGGGTATAGTTCGCTATGTCATACACCATTGTCAGGGTATAGTTCGTTATGTCGTACACCATTGTCAGGGTATAGTTCGTTATGTCGTACACCATTGTCAGGGTATAGTTCGCTATGTTAAACACTGTTGTCAGTGTATAGTTCGCTATGCCGTAGCAATTGTCAGGGTATAGTTTGCTATGCCATACACCATTGTCAGGGTATAGTTCGTTATGTCATACATCAGTTTCAGCTATCACTGGCGACAGATAGCAACTCTCAAACTTTGTATCGATTATACAAGCACAACGAAGCATGGCTATATAGCAGTTAATGTGAAAATCTATTTAAATCATGAACACCTCGAAACCACTCGTTGCCATGACGACGGATACAGGATCTCACACTTTGTCGATCAACTTTACGAAAGCGATGTGGTCGACAACAACAACCGAGGCGGGGTGCACATTGTGGACATATGTGGAGATATATTGATTTCTCCTTGTCCTCAAAGCAACCAGGATAGTAAATCATGAGCGTTAACCATCACAATAAATCACAACAGTGTACTTGAACGAACACGGATGATAAAAGCGATAAGTGCGAATAGCTTCAAGATAGATAATTGCCATTGCCATGTACACGTACACATACAGTAAAATATATTAGCGCGTTGTTATACAAGGTGTTGTACAAAAAGTGTTATGAACATGTATGCAGGGAGCAAAACATATCTCCTTCCAGTCATACAAAACGATATACATGAAGCGTTATACATGGGTATACAGGCAGCAAAACATATCTCCTTCCAGTCATACAAAACGATATACATGAAGCGTTATACATGTGTATACAGGCAGTAATACATATCTCCTTCCAGTCATACAAGACGATATACATGAAGCGTTATACATGTGTATACAGGCAGTAAAACATATCTCCTTCCAGTCATACAAGACGATATACATGAAGCGTTATACATGTGTATACAGGCAGTAAAACATATCTCCTTCCAGTCATACAAAACGATATACATGAAACATTATACATATGTGTATACAGGCAGTAAAACATATCTCCTTCCAGTCATACAAGACGATATACATGAAACATTATACATGTGTATACAGGCAGTAAAACATATCTCCTTCCAGTCATACAAAACGATAGACATGAAGCGTTATACATGTGTATACAGGCAGTAAAACATATCTCCTTCCAGTCATACAAAACGATATACATGAAACATTATACATGTGTATACAGGCAGTAAAACATATCTCCTTCCAGTCATACAAAACGATATACATGAAGCGTTATACATGGGTATACAGGCAGTAAAACATATCTCCTTCCAGTCATACAAAACGATATACATGAAGCGTTATACATGTGTATACAGGCAGTAAAACATATCTCCTTCCAGTCATACAAAACGATATACATGAAGAGTTATACATGTGTATACAGGCAGTAAAACATATCTCCTTCCAGTCATACAAAACGATATACATGAAGAGTTATACATGTGTATACAGGCAGTAAAACATATCTCCTTCCAGCCATACAAGACGATATACATGAAGCGTTATACATGTGTATAAGGCAGTAAAACATATCTCCTTCCAGTCATACAAGACGCTATACATGAAGCGTTATACATGTGTTTACAGGCAGTAAAACATATCTACTTCCTGTCATAAAAGACGCTATACATGAAGCGTTATACATGTGTATACAGGCAGTAAAACATATCTCCTTCCAGTCATACAAAACGATATACATGAAGAGTTATACATGTGTATACAGGCAGTAAAACATATCTCCTTCCAGCCATACAAGACGATATACATGAAGCGTTATACATGTGTATAAGGCAGTAAAACATATCTCCTTCCAGTCATACAAGACGCTATACATGAAGCGTTATACATGTGTTTACAGGCAGTAAAACATATCTACTTCCTGTCATAAAAGACGCTATACATGAAGCGTTATACATGTGTATACAGGCAGTAAAACATATCTCCTTCCAGTCATACAAGACGATATACATGAAGCGTTATACATGTGTATACAGGCAGTAAAACATATCTCCTTCCAGTCATACAAGACGCTATACATGAAGCGTTATACATGTGTATACAGGCAGTAAAACATATCTCCTTCCAGTCATACAAGACGCTATACATGAAGCGTTATACATGGGTATACAGGCAGTAAAACATATCTCCTTCCAGTCATACAAGACGATATACATGAAGCGTTATACATGTGTATACAGGCAGTAAAACATATCTCCTTCCAGTCATACAAGACGATATACATGAAGCGTTATACATGTGTATACAGGCAGTAAAACATATCTCCTTCCAGTCATACAAGACGATATACATGAAGCGTTATACATGGGTATACAGGCAGTAAAACATATCTCCTTCCAGTCATACAAGACGATATACATGAAGCGTTATACATGTGTATACAGGCAGTAAAACATATCTCCTTCCAGTCATACAAGACGATATACATGAAGCGTTATACATGTGTATACAGGCAGTAAAACATATCTCCTTCCAGTCATACAAGACGATATACATGAAGCGTTATACATGTGTATACAGGCAGTAAAACATATCTCCTTCCAGTCATACAAGACGATATACATGAAGCGTTATACATGTGTATACAGGCAGTAAAACATATCTCCTTCTAGCCATACAAGACGCTTTACATGAAGGGTTAGACCTATACCCTGTCACGTGACTATACACACATGTCAACATGTTGACCCCTACCCTGTCATGTGACTATACACACGTGTCAACACGTTGACCTCTACTCTGTCATGTGATTATATACACATTCATTTCAACACGTTGACCTCTACTCTGTCATGTGATTATACACACATGTCAACACGTTGACCTCTACTCTGTCATGTGATTATATACACATTCATTTCAACACGTTGACCTCTACCCTGTCATGTGACTATACACACATGTCAACACGTTGACCTCTACCCTGTCATGTGACTATACACACATTTCAACACGTTGACCTCTACCCTGTCATGTGACTATTCTCACATCAGCATACTAACCTCTACTCTGTCACGTGACAAGAGAGAGTGACGTATGGACCTAAATACCGCATTTATTGTACCTATTCAGTCACATATATAAATGAAACAGTTTTATGGAAATGACGTAATCCGCGTTTTCCTCATAATTTTACACTCTATGATAGCGTTGTTGACATTGCGGAACCTGTTACACAATATGCAGGATGTAAGCTGTGCGCGAGACACATGATCTTCGTTTAGTTTGGTATATTTTTCTTTCTACTAATATTCTCGGAAGACGTAAAGAAGATATGACAGGCCTCTTGTTGCTGTGGGGACTCGTTCAGCTGACGCCAGGTACAGTGGTCCTGACGTGCATATCTTTCCTTATCATTCAATCGTTGAGGGGGCCACGGGTGGCGCCACGACTCGTTGTGCAGAGTTGCGTCCCTTTGACACGCCAGAAACCTATGATTGTGGGTTCGAATCCCGGTTCGCCCCGATTATGTTTCTAGGTTTGTCAGCAAATTACTTGTGGGTTTCACCGAAGTAGTAAACGTCTGAGACCTGCATCACT